ACCATGACTACAGACCACCGTCCTATGTACAGGTGACACTGAATCCTGGGAAGCACCATGGCTACAGACCACCGTCCTATGTACAGGTGACACTGAATCCTGGGAAGCAGCGTATCTGTGGGCCACCAGCCTCGGGGAACATCGGCTTGTGGGAAACACAATGTCTGTGGGCCACTGTGCGCACGGGACTCGGAATCCTGGCAGACACCGTGTCCGTGGGCCACCATTCCAGAGCCTGGCATCCTCGCCCCTTCAGGAAAAGCCAGCCTGCTCGCTCTCACTTTGTATTTCCCTGAGTTAATGCTGCCCAAAGCTTTTGCTCTTCTCCTAAAGCCAGCTCCCGTTCCAGCAGTGAGGCTCTGGCACAGCTTGGCCAGGGAAGCTGTGACTGCCCTGTTCCTGGAAGGGCTCGAGGCCAGGCTGGACAGGGCTTGGAGCAGCCAACGGGTCTGGTTGCAGGCAAAGCTGCTGAGGAAACCCTGACCCATCCTTTGTGGATTGTTTGGTTGGGTTTTTCAAGGTGTTTGCAAAATTCAAGGGATAAATCCTTGAAATGCAGTTTGATTGCTTCTTGCCAGGGGGCAAAGCAGAAGCCGCTAATGGTGGCACAAATATGCCAGGTCAGCAGAGCTGATGTCACATTGATGGGAAATGTGTAAAACGCTTGGTTACAACCTTCCCAGGCCCGGTAAATTAACTGAGCTTTAAATAAGGGTTAGGGCTATGCACGTGTTCCAAGCCAAAAAAGCTTGGAGATGTCGATCAAGTACCTGAAGCAAGGTGCAGAGGGAATTGGAACGATTCGATGTGTGGAACGGGATGCATCCCAGCCGAAGAGCAGGTATCCTGTCTGTGCCTCATCCTGGCTGTTCGTGGTCCTGGTAACTCCTGGTCCCACCTGTTCCCTAACCCAGCTCTCCCCTGTTATAAATGACTTTCAAATTTCCAAACAATCAAATTTAATTAATTGATGACATACTTTAATAAATTGGATACAAAATAATAAAAAAATACAATTTAGTAAAAGAATACAATTTAATAAAAAAAGGTACAGTTTAGTAGATATATTCAGATATATATTTCTACATATACGTGTGAATATAATTGGCCAGTGGTTACAAATGGTTAAGGCATAAGCAGAACTGACTGGGGTACAGGGCAGGGGGGCTTCTCACTCCACCTCATGTACAAAACAAAGCACTTCAAGCTAAGCTTATATACTCTATGCTTATACATATTCATTAATGTTTCCTGTAAGTTTCCTCCTATTTCTGATTTTTCTGACTTTACATCACTTTTCTTCACAACACATGCCTCACTTGTTGTTAGGGGGTCTTCAGTCTTCTTTTGGTGATCTTTTGGCGAAGGCTTCTCCTCTTCCTCGTTGTCCTTTGGATAACCTTACAGGTTTGTGCATACGTACTAAGCTTTGTGTTATGTAAGTCTACTAATTAGTCTGATATTTACTAATCTTTAGGCCCAATGCCTAAAGTTGTTCTAATTTTGTCCATCTCAAGGCCATTTTAGTCTTGAGACACCGCTTATCTTCCAAACTACACACTGTACCGCAATTTTGACATGTAACATCTGCAAAGGGGTACATCTGCTTTATAACACTGATTCTTCATCGTTTCTAATACTAACTTTAGTAACAATTACAATTTAGTTAGCACGAATCAATTCCATTTATTACACCCCTGTCCCACCTGTTCCCTATTCCCTCCCGCTCTCTAACTCCGTTCTTTATCCCTATCCCGGTGATTCTCGCTCCCTATCCCGCTGATTCCCGCTCTCTATCCCGGTGATTCCCACTCCCTATCCCGGTGATTCCCGCTCTCCATCCCGCTGATTCCCGCTCCCTATCCCGGTGATTCCCGCTCCCTATCCCGGTGATTCCCGCTCCCTATCCCGGTGATTCCCGCTCCCTATCCCGGTGATTCCCGCTCCCTATCCCGGTGATTCCCGCTCTCCATCCCGGTGATTCCCGCTCTCCATCCCGGTGATTCCCGCTCCCTATCCCGGTGATTCCCGCTCTCCATCCCGCTGATTCCCGCTCTCCATCCCGGTGATTCCCGCTCTCTATCCCGCTGATTCCCGCTCTCCATCCCGCTGATTCCCGCTCCCTATCCCGCTGATTCCCGCTCTCCTATCCCGGTGATTCCCGCTCTCCATCCCGCTGATTCCCGCTCCCTATCCCGGTGATTCCCGCTCCCTATCCCGGTGATTCCCGCTCTCCATCCCGGTGATTCCCGCTCTCCATCCCGCTGATTCCCGCTCTCCATCCCGGTGATTCCCGCTCCCTATCCCGCTGATTCCCGCTCTCCATCCCGCTGATTCCCGCTCTCTATCCCGCTGATTCCCGCTCCCTATCCCGGTGATTCCCGCTCCCTATCCCGCTGATTCCCGCTCTCTATCCCGGTGATTCCCGCTCTCCATCCCGCTGATTCCCGCTCTCCATCCCGGTGATTCCCGCTCTCCATCCCGGTGATTCCCGCTCT